ATATAGTTAACCATATTTATGATCATTGTGTAATTTATTTTTTAATTTAGCTTTATATTTTTTTTAATGTAAAATTATTTTAGAGTTATAGGATAAGAATTAGTGCTATGTTAGGGTGAGTTTCATATTCTTTCAAAATTCAACAACTGAGGCTTGAATTAATGAAGGGGTAAATCTGGGATGCCTATTATTGTTTATCTAAGACATCTTATTGCAATATCTTTATGATATTTATGATTAGCTCGAAATGATATTCATTGTCTGAATCGTTAGATTAGTAGTATACCTATTTGGAAGAAAATAGTAACCACTACTAATGATCAATTTTATTTAACTAAGGATATTGAGGAGACTCAATAAAGCTTATGAAGTTAGAAATAATTGATGTTGAAAATATTTCTTTCAGACTAATAATGACCCTTATGACTTGGTTTCTAACGGTGTAAGTGTGGGCCATTCCCCAAGGAATGAATAAGTGTAACCGGTTACTATAAGATTTGCTGACAATTATGAATGATCACCCATTCAAGATAAAAGGATAATATTTATAGTAAATTTAAATCATACAAAAGGGTTGAATCTATCTCACCTAAAGATATACTAAGATTATCATAATCTTATAAAAATTCTCAGGAGAGCTATATTTGTTTCTCGGATAATATTAGATAGTTGATTGATGGGATAACTCAACTGAATTTGGAGAGGCTATCTCTTGATAAGTTTCAGATTATTACCCTCTAAATTTTATTCAGTCTAATCTTCATGAGTGAGTAATCTATAGATATTTCCTTTAAAACATTATCTCTTGATAAGTTTCATGTAGAGATTATCACCCTCTAAATTTTATTCAAGTCTAATCTTCATGAGTGAATAATCTATAGATATTTCCTTTAAAACATTATCTCTTGAGAAGTTTTATGTAGAGATTATTACCCTCTAAATTTTATTCAGTCTAATCTTCGTGAGTGAATAATCTATAGATATTTTCTTTAAAAAAAAACACTTGTACCTGTAGATTGGCACTTGGCCTGTTGAGAACTACTATCAAATTCCAAGAACATTGAAGAATTGCCTTTCGGAAGTAGGTAAAATTGTGGAAGGTACGATTCCATCCTTCCCCAAGTTCCTCGTTGCCCCATACTCAAAAGATTTCATCTGTCACAGTGATTCAGCATCTAAAAATCTTCACAGTAAGTAGCCCAATATTTGGGTTAGGCAAAAGAGTGAGGAACTTACTAACTAAAGTGATTAAGAACTACCTCAAATATTTCAGCATAAGTGTTTTAGAAAATGCGCAACCTATTATTTAACAAGTTGCTCCAAGATGTAAGAAGGATGTCATCTTGGTTTTACTTCGTAGCTGAAAGAACCAAATCTGTATCCGAATTGACTTGTAACTCTTACACATTTGATGGATTACATATAAATTCGAGTATATATAATGTCAAAGTCTAATCTGACTTGCACGTGAAAGGAAATGATAGATTTTAATATACATAGGGTTTTTTTACTTGTAGCTGAAAGCACCACATTTGTCTCCAACTCTTACTGTTAGGGTTCAATGCACTTTGATGGATTTCATATTAATTCGAGTACATATATAACGTCAAGTCTAATCTGACTTTCACGTAAAGGTTTTTCTGGGATCACTGGTCATCCAATCGAGATCAGTTTGCTTCCACCAAATGCACTAAATTAGGCAATTGATCTTTCTACAACTCCCTCACAATGCTTACACAACATATTTTTCTTCCACCCATTGATCCTTGCTTGAATCTAATCTTTGCTCTAAGTTGCTGGGTATGTTCAAAACAGATGAAGTTTGAGGTTTTGCTACAGTATTCTCATGCCTGCATGCATCTGTGTCTACTGAAACAGGTGACTTATCATAGCTAACCTTACCATTTTACACCCTATGGTTTTCTTCGTGAGAGAGATTAAATAGAGACAAATTTAAGAATAAACTGTATATCTCAATAGCAAACTCTCATACGAACATGTATGCATGTATTATATAATTTTGACAAACTCATCATAATAATGTCATCATAATATAATGACAAATTATGAACTATGATTCATGATTATGTTAAATGTGAGCAAGGTTTCATGGTAGGCGGCGAGGCATAAAAACTAAATCACTGCAAAATTTAAACTTTTAACTATTGATGGCAATGAGATTGAATCTACCAAAAACTTTTTTATGTTTTTGACTAATGTTGTTCCTAAAGTTTCGACTCTAGTCTAGAGTGCACATCATTTGAAATGGTGACATTTGCTTATGTATAACAAGATTTATAAGGTCATATACATTGAATATATTCGTGCAACACAAAATATCATCGAGCAAATATACACAGAAATTATCACGAACTAAATACGGAGATGATGAACCAAATTAAATACCCAAATTCAACTGTAAATACTCGATATATATGGGAGTTCATTTTGTTTTTCATGTTAATAACTATTTTTTTTCTATTTATGTAAATAAATATACTAAAAATTATAAATAAAGATTTAAACATTATAAATTCGATTGAATAGGCTTTCGTAAAGCCCGAAAAGAGTGGGAGAGCCCTTATTCAACCCTTGCATGATATCTGGAGTCTCTCAATCTCGATTGCTACTAAGATAGATGGAAACAGTCAGTTAATTTAGTAGCTCATATGAGACTTGCTTCATAAAATAATAACAGCGTGCTGTACTTTTTAACAATAAAAAGAAAAATAAATAAAAGTACTCATAAATTTCGCCCGATTCATTCCCCAACTCGATCGATTAGTTTTATATTCAAAGTACCCGTAATATCTAGTTTGATATTCCCCAAATCAAAGCCGACCTACTTTTATATTCAAAGGCATTTTAAATCCAAAAAATAAAAATCTAGTTTAAGTAGGTTAAATGCAGCTACATAGCAGAAAAAAAATCTAACTCATTAATTAACCTCTCTACCAAAAGGGATCGAATGCATATCCAATACGTTAAATTTGTCGTGTAAAATAAAAGAACTGTACCATGCACTACTGACGATAATTTGTGCATACAAGCTGCGAAAACATCGATGGTATAACGATGATATTAATAGAGCCTAAATTAAAAATTTCCAGAATTTCTAATTGGCTACAGCCATCTCGAACTAAATGGAAAATACCTTGAATTAATAAAAGAATTGATGAGACGAGTTACTAATTAAATCAATATTTAATCATAATTGATGCGACTTAGACTCGTGAAAAATTATCCGTTTTGGATGTACCCATATGGGTTTGTCCCTTCGGGACTCGTGAGCCCCAAAAAATATTCTTGAGAATAAAAGTAACCCGACGAGCTTATAAGTTCTTGGTTCTCTTACTTCTCAATTAATATGAGACTAAATATCCTTATTAGTGCTCTCCCCATGAGGGAGCTAAGGGCTCATGACCCTCCTTCTAATGTCAATCTAATAAATTAATATTTGGTCATCATTGATATAACCACATAGACTCATAAGAAATTATCTGCTTTAGGTATGTCCGTACGATTTTGTCTTTTCGAGACTCCTAAGTCCCAAAAAAATATTGATAGGGGTAAGAGTGACCCGTCGAGCTTATAAGCCATTTGTTCCTCTACTCCTCAATTAATGTGAGATTGATAAAAATATTTAGTCCTATATTGATTGAGGAGTAAAAAAACATTTAAGAGTAAGGGTGACTCGACAAGCTTACAAGTCCTTAGTTCCCCTCCTCCTCAATTAATATAGGACTAAATATCCTTATCAATGCTCTCGCCATAGGGGAGCCAAGGGTTTCTAGACCTCCTTCTAATGCCAATATGACAAATCAATATTTGGTTGATATTGATATAATCTTATAGATTTATAAGGAATTATCCTCTTTAGGTATGTCCATATGATTTTATCTTTTCGAGACTCATGAGTCCCAAAAAATATCTATAGGGTAAGGATGACCCGACGAGCTTATAAGCCTTTGATTCCCCTACTCAACCAATGTAGGATTGATAAAAATATTTAATTCTATATTGATTAAGGAGTTAGAGAAAAATATAAACTCGTCGAGCCATCCTTTCTTTCAAATATGTCTGAGTTCCGAAAGGATAAAATCATATAGCCATAAAGTGAGTCTATTAAATCACATCAATAACAATTAAACGTTGACTTATCAATATATATTATATTTTATAGATATACAAGCATTCCTTTGCCGTGAGTAGGTTCGTGGATAAGAATGGAATCATATTTGATATAAAGCGTCAAAGCATTCCATGTTCTAAATTCTCTCTAGTCCAATCATTCATGTATGAGGGGTTTATCTCCTTCCATGAAAAATAAATAGAAAAGGAATGAATTAATAAAAGTAGGCCACTGTGTGTTGACGGACTGTCGTGGGCTCTATCCATTTAGCATCAGATGCACGCCTTTCCAAAGGAATCCTGTATTACGCGTAGGAATCCCGCTTTCGCACTGTCCCACAAACAGATCTGCCCTGGAATCTTTCACATGTACATGTACACCACCCAACTGTGTCAGCACGAATCTTGAAAGCAACATGTGAATCTCCCCTCCCCGACCCCCCCCGATTCGTTGTCCGGGGCCCCGCACCTTGTCCCGCCGCACCCCGGAAATCGCAGGTGCGCCGTTTCGCGGCCCGCCGTCTCGCTTCATCGAACGAACCTGATCCAGTCACGCCTGTTAATGCGCCAAGCGACGGCTGTCGGCTCGCCACGTTTTATTCTTCTTGTTGGTCACTCCCCATGCCGCGCTAGCGGGCCCCAATCGTCGTTTTGCTGACAGGGAGCATCGAGACCGTTGGTTGCGCGTGGCGATCCGCGATGTCTATGCCACGTGAGCGCTCGCCGCAAATCGCCACGTGAGCGATCGCCGAAAGAGTTGCCAATCTGCTCACCGCAATTCACCTCACACCACCCCCCCGACCCCACCACACCCCCCACCCCCGCCGCCCGGACAACTCCGAAGCTATAAAAAGGTCCCCAACCCTCGCCTCGTTCCTTCCCTTCGTATCGCGTGCTCGCTGGCTCGCCTAACCGTTCCATCCAGTTAATCTTTCCTACGGTGTCCGAAGTGCGAGAAAAGGGGAAGAACCCTAATTTTTGACGCTTCTCTTCATGTTTTGCTCCCTGGTAATCGATGATTTCGGTTGAGGAACCCTAGATTGGGATCAATCTGTGCTCTAAAATGCGGTTTGTTTCTCAGGCGATCGGAGATTGCGGAGGAATTCGAGGTGTTTCTTGGATACTGGGCTCGCCATGGCGGAAGCCGCAACCCCTCGTAGATTCGTGGTAGGATATGCGCTCGCCCCCAAGAAGCAGCGGAGCTTCATCCAGCCCTCGCTCGTCGGTCTCGCACGCGAGCGCGGCATCGATCTCGTTCCCATCGATACCTCACAGCGCCTTGCTGATCAGGGTCCCTTCGATTGCGTGCTCCACAAGCTCCATGGGGAGGACTGGAAGGCCCAGCTCGAGGATTTTTCTTCCAGGAACCCAGACGTTCCAATTGTCGACCCGCCCCTTGCCATCCGGCGCCTCCACAACCGCATCTCCATGCTCCAGGTCGTGTGTGAGCTCGATATCCCCCAGGAGAGGGAGACATTTGGAATTCCTAGGCAGGTGGTGATCTATGATTCCGCGGCCCTCACAAACTCCGGGGTCGTCGGGGTCCTCCGCTTCCCGGTCATCGCCAAGCCCCTGATAGCTGATGGCAGCGCCAAGTCCCATAAGATGTCCCTTGTTTTCTGCCAGGATAGCCTCCGAAAGCTCAAGCCGCCACTTGTGCTGCAGGAGTTTGTGAATCATGGCGGGGTCATCTTCAAGGTGTTTGTGGTGGGGGATTACGTGCAGTGCGTGAAGAGGAAATCCCTTCCGGATGTCTCCCAAGAGGAATTGGAGTGCTCTGAGGGGTCTTTCACCTTCTCGCAGGTTTCCAATATGACGACGCAGGATCCAGTGGGGGTTGACTATTACATGAATTTGGATAAGGCGGAGATGCCTCCATTGAGCTTTGTCACGGAGATAGCAAGAGGTTTGAGGCGGCTCATGGGATTGCACCTTTTCAATTTTGACATGATAAGGGATTTGAAAGCAGGAGGAAATCATTACCTTGTGATTGACATTAACTACTTTCCTGGGTATGCAAAAATGCCATTCTATGAGAAAATTTTAACTGACTTCCTCTGGAACATCATTCATGAGAACAATGAGCATGATGATGTGGACTCGGCTGTTAACAGTCACTATAAAGAGAGCAAGCTCTTGATTGATAGTCATTGACAAGATTGCACAAGATATAGAGAATGTCGGATGAGGGTTTTAATGCTGCCATCCTTCTAGAAATTTAGTTTTCCTGATTACTTGAAAGGTACAAGAATTTTCACCTTTCTGCTAAGGTTATCAGTCTGCATGTTGTTGTGTTTGGCTGAATAAGTAGGTCAGTCAATTAGGGATTCATAACTTTGCCATAAGTTCATTTGGTTCTTACATTGACTAAACATCCTTACTTTGTGGCTGTGATTAGATATGCCACCTTGTGACATTGCTTTCTCTCTGTAGTTAGAAGAGTAATAAGCCTGGTGGTCCATTCAAAGGGTTATGATCTCATTCTAATCAACCGGGCATTTATAAAACATGGGATTTGTTATTTGTCATTTGTAATTGTTTTGCTTAGTGCATATGAGAGTAAAGATTGTTCACTCGCATGAGAATTTGACTCTTGACTGTTCTGGCAATTGTCAACACTAAAATGCTATGCAGTATGTAAATATGTTGATTCTCATTCTTATATATATATATATATATATATATATATATATATATATATATATATATATATATGTGTGTGTGTGTGTGTGTGTGTGTGTGTGTGTGTGTGTGTGTGTGTGTGCGTGTGTGTAACACATGGAAAGATCATAAAAAATGAAATAAAGAATAAAGCAAAAAAAAAGAAAGAAAAGTATATGTTCCTTATAGGTTGAGGATAGGAGAACACAGAATCCAAATGAACAAATCCAAGCTATATATATATATATATATATATATATTTATATACACCTTAGACAAATTGTACGAAAAAAAGGTCATGATGATGATGAATCTAATGACTGAGGTAGAATCCTGTTGAAGCATTAAGCTGCTGAAGTCAAACCACCGTGTTATATGCCACTGGCATATAACACAGTGGCATGGCAAGGCTTGATATAACACAGTGGTTCTTGTCCACACAAGAACCCACCAGAATTTACTTGTATGCTTATCTCTAAGTCCTCTCATATTTCTCCAGCCTTGAGAAGTTGCTCAGCAGCAGTGAGGGTTGACTCAGAGAGCTGGGTTTCTTCCCAACAGTGTTGATGATACAAATGAAGCATGACCCGTCTTAATCATCAGCCATGGACCAGAACTAGTCCTGTTTTCTTAATAGGTTAGCTTAGAATTTTAACGAGCTAGTCAGTAATCCCTATTCTTGGGTCCCGAAACATAGTTAGCTTTGCAAGTTTCGGGTGATATGCCCAAACCTGACTTGGACTTTTATCCTTGGTCCTAGCATGTTTGTTCCAAATAATGTATTCAGAAAAGCATTGGTCAAATTCAGACCTGGATATATTCCATAAGAGCATATATTATATGATGCTGAAAATTTTCTTTTATGAAGTCAATATATTATGACAATAAAGTGACATTAAACTAGTACTAATGCTGTATCACTAAATTGATGTACATGTTCAAGGTTCCCTCCCACAGCACAGAATATGAATGATGACCTGTGAATATTTTTGTGTGTATAAATTTTGAACAGGATATGCATGTGTATTTTTTTTTTCGGTTATGTGTTTTTAACTACGTAGTAAAACTATCAAACACTACTATGTACAGGAAACCTATCATTTTGTTTAGCAAGTTAGCATGTTTCAAAATTATCCACTTTTCCACTATACTATTTTTTATAACATTAGTAAACTGAAAGTTGATATCCTATTCTTAGTCCTGCATGTAGAGTATGTGCGGAACTAGACTTTTATCATACAAGTTGCAAATGCCTTATTCTGGTGCCTAAGCTGGACCTTTGACTTCGATTCTAATGCCAATACAGTGAGGATTCCTTTCTTTTAGTTATCTTCAAATATGTGAGCATTGAATTTGTAAATTTTCTTTTATCCATTCCCCTATATGTTGAGACAAAATGTACCTAATGTAGTGTTGAATGATGCTAAGAACTTGTTACATTCCATATTTTGATATTTCTGTTTCTAACACTTAACATTTTGCAAGAGAACATTGGTCATCTATGTGCACAATATTGATTTATCCTTGGTGACCACCTGCCAAACTAAAGCTTTTACTTCCATAGTTATCCTTTTGCTGAACAGAAAATTCATGGTTTTGAATGATTGTAGGCAGCAATTGATTGGTCTGGAAGCTGCCTAGGTTTGATACTGGGCAATATCTTAATTGATCCTATGTTCTGCTTGTAGTAACCCCCCATCACAGAAGCAGCACTAATGGTGGCACTCTGCTCCATGGTCCATAGATCATTGCTTCCATCTGCAATGACCGCAGATGATAATGATGCATGTCCTAAATGTTAGAGAAGAGAAAAAATTAAAGGAATGATGAGAAAGAGAAGGAAAACAAGTTTTCATTTGCTGTAATACATCTGCATAACCAAGGTTGTAAAAATTGAAAGTCATAGGTGGGTTTTTAATTCATATTTGGTGCGTTTACATTATAATGTAGTGAATATGAGAACAAATATCAAATGGCACTACTTTAAAAAAGAAACTTTACTTGGCTTTGAAATTTTTTTATTTCTAGTACAAATAGAAGCACTAATGTGAGATACGACAAACTAGAGGATGCAAAGATTCAAGGTACTGGGACTAAAATGAATGATAAAGAGAAGAAAAGGATAAATAATGAGAATACTTTGATAGGACACATATGATTCATAGGAAAACCATATCGACTATGAAAATATAAGCAGAACAAGTTCAACCGCATACCAGTTCTTGGTTGATAGTGGACAATGATGGCACCCTTCCCGAAGAGCTTTAGTTGGTCCCAAAGTTTGAACCATTTGTTTCTTTTCAGTAGTTTGGTTTGGTTGTTTGTGTA